CTGTAATAACACTTGGCCGAAATGAGCCAGACAATCAGTCTTATTTAAGCGGAGGGGTAATTTGCTTTTCTCGTATCCGGACCTGCTCAGTAAATCGTATGTGAAATAATTGTAGGCCCTTTGAGAAATTTAATGCGTTGATGTGCAGAAATACATCCCCTTTGATTTACGGGACTTAGTGATGTTTGTTTATACCCCTTCGCCCCTCTCCCATGGCTGAGTGCTGACCTTTGCCCTGCCCATGTTCCCAGCGCCTGACTGCTGCTCCGGGGAAGCAGTGTTGTCCCATCCGGGCGGAGTACCTGCTGGGCCTGGGACGCAGAGTTCCTTTGGAGAAAGAGCAGATTAAGCCTCGGCAGGACAGCATGGGGAAGGTGCTGATATCTGTCAAGTATCGCAGGAGAAAAAGGAGGTGCAGACTGAATATACGAATCCCAGATGGGTGTGCTGTGTCGTCATACGTGGGCAGAAGAAGACTTGACATTTGTTCCTTGGAAATGCAGAGCAAGCTTGGTGGTGGGATGTTTTACTGGCTCACCAGTTCGTTTCAGGGTTTTTAAACATTACAGCATTAGGGTGTGTGAACTAGTCGGCCTCTAACGAACGGCCTTTTTTTCTTTACCTTGGTACAGAGACATCGCAGTCTGTCAAGAAAAGGGCCTGCTCTCCCCGTGTTCGCCTGGGTCTCCTCCAGGTGCTCCGGTATAACTGGTACTGATGGGTCTGCTGGCTTCTGGGAAAGGCCCTGGTGTGAGTGGGTGTGTGTCTGTGTGTATCCTGCGATAGTCTGGCATCCCGTCTAGGGAGCGCCCTGCCTTGTGCCTCTTGCTTGCTGGGATGCTTCCCTGAGTTGGAAGAAATGGTTAGAAAATGGTGGAAGATGGAGGCCAGCTTTTGCCCTCCTCTTGTAAACCCTCGCTTGTTAGGGAAACGCACAGCGTAAAAATGGATTAAGGGAGATGTATACGGAGAAGAAAACGGAAAGCTTGGGTTTGGCATTTGAGAAGCGGTCTTTTTCCAATTAATCCCGGCCTGTTTTCTCCCAGCTGCTGAGCGTACCTGTCACAGGTGCCTATACTGTTGCTCCCCACATGTGGTTAAATAAGCCTGCGCCCCCGTACACACGCACACGCACAACCCCTTATGTAATATAAATATTGCATGCTTTCCATTTCCTCATTAATCTTCAGAACATGCATAGAAATGAAAAATTAATTTATGTATAGTTCCAGCTCCCCTATCTACTGGAGATAATTAAGGAGAACTAAATTGAGCTCTATTAGAAGGATTTCATTTCTTAGTTAATATTTGCTGAATAATAAGTATAACAGAACTGACCTTCTTAAAACAGTTTTTCCCACATAAAAACTCTCTCATGGTTCAGTTATTTACAGTTAAAAACACGTTTTTCTGTGACTTCTCTCCTCAACTCTCGCCTTTTCTCACTATCTCCCTACCTTCTGTTTTCGGTACTGTTAGTTTTTATTGTTTTTTTCCAGTTTCCAGATACATTTCCTGCAACATTAGAGGATTCTAGTATTATTTGAACCTCCAACCCCCTGCTTTCTCTCCCTCCCTGCCTTCTCTATATGTCATTCTCTGTTTTATGAGTTATTTCTTAAGCCTTCGGATTTCTCCTCTTCCTTTGGTTTTGATAGAAAATAACTTTTTGAGGAAATTGAGCTGACCTTGGTCTCTCCCCTTCTCAGTATAATGCTGATGTATGGTTTGGCTGCCGAGATGCTCGGTAAGTGAAAGGCATGTTTTTATTTCCCTGTGCAGGTCGGGGAAGTCAAGAAGGATTACAAAATTATTTTATTTTTCCAGGAGAGAGACCGCTTAGCAGTCTAGTACCATTTGAGGATTTTTATACCCGTATAGGTGGAGCCAGTACTTGGTGTATGAGCGAAAGCATGTTGCGGAAACCCTGTTTTTTAGGTTATTAAATGCTACTCATAAGGATACATTAGTTCTTACTAAACGTTTTAGTTCGGAAAACTATTAAACGAGGATGAATTAAATGTTGAACGTAGCAGATATCTGTCCTCTTGTCTCTATTATTGTGTTATTATGAAGAGCCCTGTGTTTGATGTTCGTGCGCAGTGTTACTGAGGTTGGTAAAAAGGCGACCGAGTCTGGATTTTTGGAATAAACGAGTAGTCATCAGCTCAGATACAGAAGACTGGGAAGTGGTTGCACTTTGTCAGATGACCGAGCTGTTTGTCAGGTCTTGTTTTGGTTTTAGATGTCTGGACACAGTATTTCTATTACAGAGTAGCGAAGCCGAGGTGTTGTCGCTGGTAGGGGCACAAGTGCTCTTTTGTAGGGCAGAAACACAGGACTTAAACTCTAGGCAATTAAAATAAGGTCACTTTCAGATGAGCTTAGAATTGAAATTGAAATTGCTTTGCCGTGGGTGTATGGAGTGATACAACCTCACGTTTTCCATAAATAAAGCTACAGTTATTGCTATTATGTAACAGTTGTGCACCTGCTTTAAGGTCTTTAATTATGGATTAAAATGCGTGCAGACTGGAAACATTATACAGTCCCTCCAAGCTGTACACAGTGCTTAAGTGCTGGCCTGCTTGCGATGTGCAAGGAAACGGCATGCTGTGGCGAATCGGTCGCGTTCGGGTGCGTTCTGGGGAGTTCTGTGCTGAGACGTGGCCTCTTGGTGTGGAGTGGGTGAGGCAGACCCACAGGCCTTCGCCCTGTCCCTCCGGCCGGCCTGCTTGGCCTCCTGCTCTGGCTCCGCTGCGGTGATCTGGCTGCGGAGTGGCTGTCAGGGTAAAGGGGTCGTACTTGGCTAACCATGCCACTGCCTTCCCATTTCGGGAAGGCTAATGCGCTCTCGCCTAGTGATGTATATGCAGTAATCACCTGACTAATCTCGCTGTGATCCAGCCAAGTCCTGGATGATGACAGCAGGCCCGGCATGGTTGATCCTCTGCTGTTATGTGCAGATCCACTGTCCTGCAGAAATATAAATAGCGGCCGTGTTTAGGCAACAAAGGTGTGAGGGCTGGGGGTGGTGATGGGGTGATTATTAAGGCTGAAAGCTGCATGCAATGTTTGTATTACAGCTATCAAGTGGGCTGAATAATGAGTCTGAGGATCTGTGTCCTTCCAGCTTCGGCAGAAAAAGCCTGCCTCGTTTGTGAAAAGGCAAACAGAAACGTACACCGAAATTGAACAATATTTTTTTTTTCCCCAGAAGCATAAATAAAAGCAGTTCATAAATATTTTGTGAGCGCGTTATCATGTATCTGAAATGCGCGGAGTCCTGCAAGTGCATGAGAACAAGCAGGCATAATGTGCTTTTAAACTCAACTGTTTTTTCTTTCCTGCTCACCACTGTTTTTTTGGTTGTTTTTTTGTGTGTGCTCACAAACTGCATGTGCGTTCATGCTAAAAATAATGAGAAGGAACATATTTTACAGCTTTGTAATTATCATAATCTATCACTGTACCTGCATTTGAGGGAATGAGAGCCTTTTTAAGAGAGACTTATATTTGCGTGTAATACATTGGGGGTGTCAAGGCTGAGTCATTAAAGCTGCCAGTGTCGTGTTTTAAACTGTACAGTGTCTGTGGGAGCTGGTGGGGATGGCGACACAACAGTTTTAGTTTTTGCCTTCAGGGTGACTTAATTTCGACTTTAGGCACAGGCAGCGCGAGGGAGCAGAGCCTGTGGAGATTGTGCAATAAGTCTAAATCTGCAAAGGAATAGATGTCTTTATCTCCCCACTGCTCTGCCTACCACTTAACACCTTGAGAATACAGACAGTTCCCATGATACCAGAGTGCCATTCCCATCCTGTCTTTGCTGTCTATTGTTTCTGGGGGTTGGGGGGAATCTGATTTTACATATAGGGTGTGTGTGTGTGTGTGCCCGAGGGGAAGTAATTCATTCTGTTTTTGTTCGTGTACGTTAGGCTTTTTTAATTTCTTGATAACTAGTCTGTAAAAACAACCCCAAAGCCTCAGAAATCTCATGCCTTGTTTAGGCTAGTAAGTGTATTCCTGAAAAATGGTGATATTATGATTACAGCATTTTGATGATTAAGTCATTATTAGTGACACACAAAATCTGTCCACTGGTACTTTGACGTACTCGGCTCCTTTTTTGGGTAAGTTATTATGAAACGCCTGCTGCTGGGAAAAATCAATGTTTTAATGCAGTGGTCTAATCCAGAGACTTAATAACCCTTAGCTCTGGTAATTGCATAGGTCTGAATGCTTCAGTGGCATCAGACAGATGTCCCTACTGACAGATCGAGGATGTGTGATGTGCGATGAAAACGGTGATCTTTTTTTTTTGTCTAAAGTCAACAAAGATGTAAAAAACGCAGAAGAGAAGAAAAGCTTGTCCGTTTCCCAGGGGCACATTAAAATAATTGCAGGATTTCCTAATGAAATTCTGGTTTTGAGCCGGAGTGCACCATTCCGCACATAAATCAGCTTCTGCAAGCTGTTTTCATGTTTTTTGGGGGGGTGTTTGAGAGCGGGCTCCTTCCTAAGCGCTCCGAATCTCTCCTGGCTGTGGACGGCGAATGTAAAATGTCAGTGTTATTGAACGGGTGCTGCAAGGCAGGATGGTGATGTTTTCATTTCCAAGCTGTGCGAGGGGAGGAGGGGAGAGAGCCAGTGAGCTCTAGAGGGCACTGTAAATATCTGCGAAACTCATCTTTACAACACAATTACTGGCAGGCCTGCTGAAATGTCACATAACAATGTGGGGTCATCAAATCAAAAGGCTGTTTTTTTTTTATGATAACATAAAATGAAATCTTGAATGGTGTAAAAGGGTGATACAGCCTTGAACGCTTCCCTGGCATGTTGAAACAAAGCAGTCTAATGAAGTTCTAGTAGGGAGACACTGATTTGTCACGCAGCAGCTATGTAAATACGTCGTGCAAATGCCGTCAAGGTACGATTGCTGGTCTGGCTTGTTTGATTCATGCTTTTGCTTTTTTTCTTTTTTTTTTCCCCTTCAGAATCTCGTTGTGTTTCAGTGCTTGTTAGGATTTGGATGGGGAGATGTTGAAGTACTGAGGAAATACTTGAATGCAGTCAAGGTTAGTTAACGTGCGACAGTGATATGAGCAGGAGATCACTCTCACCCCCCCCCCCCACTTCCCTGACCTTCCAGATTAACAACCAGACCTCTCTCTCCACCATCTTCCTGCCTGTCACCCCCCCCCGAACTGCCTGCTGCTCTGTGTGGTGTCCATCATGCGACACTCCTGTCCCCTCTGCAGTGTGCAGATGTGCCCTGTCTCGTCTCCATTAACAATGCACACATCTGGCATCACTTCCTTTCTGACCTAAATATTTCTCTCTCTATCTGTGAAACGTTCTGTAATGTTTTCGTGCTCTTCTACCTTGGCATTTATTTTCCGAGCTATCAAGTGTTTGTTTGCCTGGTAACAAGTGCTGTAATTTGTATGGTGACCTTATCTGAAGCATTTATATCTGAGTATTTGTGTGTGTGTGTGTGTGGGGGGGGGGCAGACGAATGCAAAACTTCCAAGTCCTGCTTTTCTGCCGTGACACAAATGTTCTGAAAAGTGCCATTGTGGTGTGTGAATGTGTTAAAAGTTGCACTTTCTTCCAGAGGCCTCTGAACTCGAGCTGGGGCGAGGGGGCGATTTCTTTAGCGATTTGTCACACTGTTTTCATTTTGTGAAGTAAGATTCTGATAAATTAACATTGATGTAAATATAGGTTGAGTGCATGTAAAGAGGCTTTCAATGCAGAGTCGCTGGTTGGCAATGAATGGAGCTGTTGTTCCTCATTTTCCAGTCGGCCTTTTAGTTGCGGAGCCACTGGAATACAGCGGTGCTCATTCTTCAGGCTGTGCGCGTTAGTGGTTCATGGTTGCAGCTGTCCGATAAAATGGATGAAACGAGCTGCTGTTCATTACGGCGGGCCCTCATCACGTGTCCGAGCGGCGTGGACGATTTCGTTTCAGCCTGGGTTTTCTGCAGCGAGAATCGTCAGGGAAGCATCCAAGTTCTTTCTCAACATTCGCAGGGGGGTGGTTGCCCCTTAGGTGGTCACCCAGTGAACAAGTCGAGAGCAGATTTACTGCTGCTTCCCCTGTCAATTGAGCAGCGAGAGTTAGATGTTGAAACGGGCTTCGCTGAGGGGTCTTACAAGGCGCTGAAGCCGGCTTGATCCCCTCAGAAAGACGCACTTGAAAGTCAGGGGAAAGTGGTCCCTGTCTGTACTGGGCTGTTATCTGGACTTGTTCGCTGCAGGAAGGCTCCAGGAGTTGTACTGGGCTGTACAGATGCACACAAATGTAAGTGTCAGGTGTATGTTGGTGAGGTGTGGAAGCGTTCCACAAAAAAAACACTGGAACATTTGTTAAAAGTTTTTTTTTCTTAGCATTATATTTAGTTGAGAGGCTTAAGAGTTGTGATTTACAAAATACAGGCTGGGTAGAATTTATTCCCTGCAATTTCACAGCTGGGGGTGGAGAAGTGGCCTGGGGTTAGTTATTGTAATATTTTTTGCTGTTTTTTTAAAAAAAAAAGTCTAACTGAGTAGGAATGTTTTGCACAAATGCAGGCACAGTTCTTGCACTGTGCTGAGCTGCTCTCTGAGCACTGTGGCTGTAGGGATAAGAACACAAGAAGGATACCACAGTTAAAACAGATGTTCTTCCCCCCCCCCCCCCCCCCCCCCCTTCTAGAGGAAGTGCAGTTATGGCCATATGTTCCAACCACTACCCATGGCTGTGTTTTCAATCAAAGCTGCAAGTACAGACTTACATTATCATAGTTAATCTGGCCCTAGTCCCCTCTAATGCTGCACTGCAAATGAAGTTGCAGCACTGCTGCAAGCACTTTCCCATTTGTTAATGGGACCCTCAATCACACAGTCTTCTTGCCTGGTCAATATCCTTCACAAGCTAAAAAAAAATTTACCTGTCTGCATTCAGCGCTTTTTAAAAAAAACACTGACCCTTTGCACGTTTGCTGATGAGTAAAAAGGCCTTTCTTACCAAATCGAGAGCATTTTAAAAGCCCTTGGCCTTTCCAGCTGATGTCATCTGAAATATATGAGAATGTGAAGAGTGCTTTTAAATGCTCTATTTGTTTTACTGGGAACACTCAATTTTTAAAGCATATAATGTGATAGCGCTCACTCTGCCTCTTGCGTTTCAGCATCTGCAGTCCATAAGCAGGGACTGAGCCCATCTCCATATCTCTAGATGGATTATTCTTTCTTGTTGATAAGTCTTCTCTTTTGAGAGTTACCATCTGAATCTCGAATGGAAATCTGATCTCCTCTTTCAGCCGAAAACCATCAGGATTTTAATATGCAAGTGCTTCCTGTAATGAAGCACAAGTGGAAGAGCTCCACGACAGTAGCTGGCTCTGAGAACTGAGTGCCAGACGCGGGCATCTCCTGAATCGCTGATTCCTGGGCCGATGCGGATTTGCACAAGCTGCACTGATGCATTTTTTTTCTCTCCCTATGAAATTATTCTAGAGGGAAAGACGTGAAAAATCCTTTTCATTTTTTTTTAATCCTGGCACGCAGATGGGATTTAGTGTTTATTTTAATGTACTCTCTTGTACAAAACCAGTTTAGAATTCCCTCTCCTCGCCGCCTTCTGCAACCACTGACACTTGTCTTTGGAAAACACAGGAAGCCGATTCTGTTTCGAGGGGCAGGCTGCCAAGTTATATTTTAAGTTCTGCTAATGGATTATTAATGAAGTAGGGGAAGAGTAAGTGAATAATATTGACAAAACATTTCCCATTAAAACTCAACAACTTGATCTCGGAGTGGGCTGACTAAAGACAGGTGTCATATTTGAACATCGGAGTGTTGGAGAAAGGGATCCTAACAGAGATGAGGATTTCATTTGGTGCAAAAAAAATATCTTAAAAGGATGTGTTCATGCTTTTTTTTCCTCTCAGCTGCTCCTGGGTTCATGCTAGATTTTATAAATGTTAAAAGCAGTTGAGCTGAGCCTCTCGTCATATGATGTTCTTCATTGTAACAGGAGTCAGCCAGTGTGACAGCGGTATTGTGATTATAGTTTGAATGTAAATGAAATTGAAGGACGAGGGCTCGGGTCGGATATCTCTTCGTCCTTTATCGCTACACCAGTTTCTGAACACGGGGCCATTGCTCACCAGCAACGGTAATTACTGTCTTGTGCACAAGACATCTGAGATGATTAAACTTGCTCTTCTGCTGTGTATCCAGCAGATGGGGCAGTTTGGGATTAACATTGGTAATTGTGAACACTAAATCTGTGTTTCCAATGTTTCCTCTGTGGATCGACTGCAGCGTTTAGCTTTTTAAGTGGAATCGTCATTAAGCTCCATAAGAAGAGCTCCAGTGCATGGAAATATTACATATTGCTACTAACTACTAATTTATTTGGCTCATATTTTTATCCAACGCAACTTACACCTAGACATGTATATCTGGGTATTTTAATGGAGCAATCCAGGTGTAGTATAGTGATCAGGGTACAACTGCAGTGTCTCACCTGGAATTTGGACCTACAACCTTCCACATAAACCACATTTCAGTACGTGTGGCTTTACCGAAATCTTTTGCATCAGGTGATTCTGATTTTCTGAACTACTAAGTTCCTGTGTAAGAAAAAAACAAACTTTTTTAAAATCTCTTTGAGCAGAATTTTTTTTTTCCAAAAGGATTCTTGCTCGTTAAGCGATGTTTTAAAGATTCAGTCTTTAAAAAGACGCGTTTTTGGTGAGCTGCTGAGCGGGAGGGTAGACGCCCAGAGGCCTGTCTGAAGTGCTACCTGTGTTATTCCGAGAGAACTGGATGAGGATGAGAGCTCTTTCAAGACCTCCCCATCTGAGACTCCCTGAAAGTTTTACAGCATTACATTGTCTCCTCATGGGGAGGAAAAACACCGGCAGTGGTTTATCTTCGTGTATCTGCTATAAATCACTTCCTCCTACTACACGGCATTTAACAGATCTCGCTTCACAAGGTTTTGCAGACAGGAGCCGCTTAGTCTGTATAGTCTGAGGGAGAAAAAAGTGTTTTCCTTTAAACAGGTTGATTCTAATTGAGATCCGTCAGTCTGTGAGGGAGTGTGTCAGCTTCTTTCTGAGCTGCAGATTTTTTTCCTCCGCGGCTTTAAAGCATGTGAACGACAAGGAATGGAAAATAGTGGCCCATCCATTTGTAAATGTCCTTTTTTGTGGGGTCAGAACCCCTAAAACAGGTCTCTGTGTGGCTGGTTTAATGTGTTTGATTTGCGACAGTTGACAATTTTAAGGAAGTGCTGAAGAAGGCCTATGTGCATGCATGTATATAGCTGGCCATGAACAGAATGTAAATACAAGAGTTCATACTCTCAGGCTTGAGGGCTTTGCCAAATGTGGATCAGTAGCAAAGTAAATAGAGGAACTTTTCAGCTGTGCTTTAAATTGATAACCTAAGTAATGAAAAATTCCTGACATTCTTTCAGGGGGAGTTCTGGTACAATTATAATGATAAGTCTTCAAAGTAATTTCTGATGTAGGCAGAGCTTCATGTAAGTATATTAAATCCCATTGTGGTCTCTCAAAAGATGCCTGAGCATCTGCAAGTTAGTATATTGCCTCCTGGGTTAAGTATGACAAGAGAGAAGTGTGCGTAAAAAAATGTTTTCCTTATTTGGGATAGGCTTTGGAGGAAACTAATGTCAGGCGCTTCCTTGAGCTTGAGAGAAAGGGCTTCCTTTAAAATAACAATTGAAGTGCAGATTCGAGTGCAAATGCAGATGTCGTGCATTCAATGTTTTCCTTCCCTGGATGAGGCTGGTATGGCAAAAAAAAAAATCCCTTCCATCTTCGTTTATTTTCCAGCCATTTCCACAGTTTCAAGCATCAGCTTTTTTTATATATATATAAATAGCTTGGGTTGGCTTCCAAGTTTTCCTGACCTACTGTATGTCCCTCTTGGGGTGCTGTGTGCTTGTCTAATACTAATTAAAAGATCAAGAGGGCTAAGAGGGGGAGTGCATGTTGGGGGAAGTCGGGGGGGGATGCAAGGTTCTTGAAGGAGAACATTTGTGTGTTCCTCACGGCAG